TGAATGTCATGTGCATCTGATGAAGTGGGTCTTTGCCCACGAAAGCTTATGCTCCTACACTTCAGTTAGTCTATAAGGTGCCACAGGACTCCTCGCCGCTAAGGAAGGTCTCGAGTTCCTTATTCATCTTCCTAGAAAGTGCTCATACTGGTACATATTCTTTGCTCTAGAGAAGCAGCCCCTGGCAGCAGCAATAGTAATAGCATTTTAGATTTCTATAGAACCTTTCATCTCAGTAGATCTGAAACACTTCAGGTTTTCCCTGTTTGAAAGAGCATTTAATCCACCACTGAAATGCAGCCAGCTTTAGGGTGAAATGTGGTCGTGGTTCAAAAATGCATGAGAGTGTTTACGCAGTGGTTTAGGATAGGAAGTGAAGAATGCGCCTCATTACATACAAAACAAGGTTTCCTTTCTCTTTGCAGATTGACATTTCCAAATGCCATTACCTGGTGGATTTAGATAGAGCAACTGAAACACCAAGAGAGCCGAGATACTCTTCCAACAAAGAAGAATGGGTCAGCATTGCCTATAAACCATTCTTGGATACTTCCAGGTAAGTGTTTTCACAAGTTTGAGGAGGAACAGAGGCAGACAGGTGCATGAATTATTCTGTTTGCTTTTCTCCATATTAAAGAAGCGATCTATGTACTACAGGTTGAAATTCTCTGAACTGGGATTCTCTGGTCTGGCAGGATGTGAATGTTCCAGAGTCAGAGTGTCCTGGTTGAGATCTAGTGCCTGAGAGCCCTGTAGGTTGGCAGGGCAGTGGGAGTCCCATGCGCAATAGTGGGCTGCCCAGTAGGGCAATGAGAGCCAGGTGCACAGAGGCTGTGGGGCTGACCGGCATGACAGCAGGAGCTGGGCACTGTAGCGAGAGCCCAGTGCACGCAGAGGCGAGCTGGTAAATAAACAAACCGGAGCAGTCCAGTATCAGCTTTCTCAGAGTGGGTCCGTGAACCACTTTGAGAAACCCTGACCTAGGGCAAGCCCCGTTTTCCTTCTGACTCGTTTTTGTGTGCACATGCTGGTTGCATGAGTGTTTAAGGGCGAGAATCTTGTTTCTTGAGAGCAGGCAGACGCAAAGTTTTCTGGTTGAAGATGAGTTGTCATATGCATGGCATTATGGTGGATGTTGTGCTCACATACAAACTGATCCCTAACCCACTGAAGTCAATGGGAGCCTTTCAGTTGGCTTCATTGAATCGAGACTTTGTTGTCTTAACTTATTAAATTTTTCTCTGCAGGAACTGTGTTGTCCTGAATATTTTATAGTGGCTAGCACAAAGGGATGCTGACTTAGGTCTTTGGGCACTACTGCAATAAAAAAGTAAATGTGAATGGTTAAGTGTTGGGTTGTACACTTTCCAGAATCCGCATTTATTGTTTCTCTGATCTCCCAAAAAACACTTCTTTCCCTGTACGCTCATGGGGAGCTACATTTCTGATTGCTCTGTGCACGTATTTGAGCTGCATTGCTGAATGCTTGTTTCACTTTGGGTTATGATATTAAGTGAGCTAAGGAAGGTCTTCAGTATCAGAGGGGTAGCCGTGTTAGTCTGAATCTGCAAAAGCGGCGAGGAGTCCTGTGGCACCTTATAGACTAACTGAAGTGTAGGAGCATAAGCTTTCGTGGGCAAAGACCCACTTCGTCAGATGCATGTGTCTGAAGAAATGGGTCTTTGCCCACGAAAGCTTATGCTCCTACACTTCAGTTAGTCTATAAGGTGCCACAGGACTCCTCGCCGCTTTTAGAAAAGCTAGACATACACAAATACATGGGCCCGGGTTTAATGCATCTGAGGGTGCTGAGGGATTTGGCAAATGTCATCAGGGAGCCTTTGGCCATTATCTTTGAAAACGCTTGGAGATCGGGAGAGATCCCGGATGACTGGAAAAATGCAAATGTAGGGCCCATCTTTAAAAAAGGGAAGAAGGACAATCCAGGGAGCTACAGACTGGTCAGCCTCACCTTAGTCCCCAGAAAAATCATGGAGAGGTTCCTCAAGGAATCCATTCTGAAGCACTTGGAAGAGGGGAAAGTGATCAGGAATAGTCAGCATGGATTCATGAAGGGCAAGTCGTGCCTGACCAATTTGATTAGCTTCTATGATGAGGTAACTGGCTCTGTGGACATGGGAAAGCCAGTGGATGTGATATACCTTGATTTTAGCAAAGCTTTTGATACAGTCTCCCACAATATTCTTGCCAGCCAGTTAAGGGAATGTGGATTGGATAAATGGACTGTAAAATGGATAGAAAGCTGGCCAGACTGTTGGGCCCAACGGGTAGAGATCAATGGCTCAATGTCAGGTTGGCGGTCGGTTTCTAGTGGAGTGCCCCAAGGATAGGTTCTAGAATCGGTTTTGTTCAACATCTTCATTAATGACCTGGATTAGGGGATGGATTGCACCCTCATCAAGTTCACAGATGACACTAGGGGTATGTCTACACTACAATGTTAGTTCGAACTAACATTCATAGGCGCTACACTAGCGCTCCGCTAGTTCGAATTTAAATCGAACTAGCGGAGCGCTTAGTTCGAACTAGGAAAACCTCCTGCTGCTGTCACTACAGCAGGGACTAGCGAGAGGTGGGAGCTGGCTGGGAGGTCGATGGTCAGGCCAGGGCTATAGGGAGCTACAGGGGGACAGCAAAATCCATCATCTGGGATCACTCAGGTCCCAATGGTGTCGGACCAGAGAGGTCCAAACTGTAGTAGGAGAAATACACTAGGTGGAGTTATCTTGAAATGATCCTCTTGGAGAAAGGAATCTTTCTGGGCACAGGGACGGGTATTTACATGGGGAGTGTGCCTGGTATTACTACATCTTTGGTGCATGTGGCTGATACTGCTTTATAGGGTGATATACCCCAATGGGTTAAACGTCAGTTTAAAAACAAAAACTCAGAATCCACTGTGGGCTGAAATTTACTTTTCTTTTTTATTTGAACAAGACTTGTTAGAAAGCTGTTGGGAGGAGAAGAAGTTAGAATGAAATCAGCCTCTTCCAGCTACCAAGGATCTGTTTGGTTATATCAGGTTGAAAGTGAATGTGTAATCCCTACAGGGCAGCAGCTCCCTGTTCTAAATGATCCTTGGATGATTATTTTTAAAGGTATGGTAAAGCAACGGTCATGGGATGAGAAGAGTGGTTTGCTGGGTAGATCCATTAAAAACAGCAACACAGAAGCCCGTGACCTCTTATTTTCACATGGGTTCTCTAGCAAGGGCAAATTGGGAGCACAAGACAGATGATCAGCTAGTTTTTCCAAACTAACGTAGTTGGGTGATGGGAAACTGCAATAATGTACTTTTTCCAAAGGGTCTGGTTTTTTTAAAATTACATTAACAATGTTCCTTCCCTTCCCTTCCCTCTCCTCCCCTCCCAAAAATTTGCCACTTAGTCTTAAGCTACTACATTAACAATGTTCCTTCCCTTCCCTCCCAAAAATCTGCCACTTAGTCTTAAGCTAGGTACAGCCCATCTTCCATGAGATACTGTCCCTTCCTTGGGGCCCAATGCAGGGGAGCCTTTCTTCCTGCAGTTTCACTCTGCAGTGTACCTTGTAGTGTGGCCCTCACTGGACTCTCTCACACCCTCTATAACCCAGATACAGCTCTGCCACCTTATCTGGCTCAGCTGGGAGTACCTGCTCTAACAGAAGGGACCTGGACCTGTTTTAATCCCAAGGGCTAGGCACACTCTGACAAATAACCAACCTAGACATATGGCATGGCAGCCCACGGAATGGGCATCAGATCCGTCACTGTGTGGTGAATCCAGCTTGCAGGGAGGGAGCGTGCTAGGCTGTTTCCACTGAGAGGGGTGCCATGGTGCAGGAATGGGAGACTCAGGGAGCTGTGGAGCATGGTAACCGTGGCATCACGGTCTCTTTAGCAATCAATCAGATAAAACTGCAGAATAATAAAGAATGGACAGGCGCCTCTTGAAGCAGGTAGAATAACAGTCTCTCTTCTTTTTGGCACTTCTACATACGCCTCAGCCTAGGCTGTGCACTCCCTGGTTGAGAAGTTAGTGTTTAGACCAAAAGCACATAAGGGTTGGGGTTCGGGGGAGAAATTGGCTTCCATCACCCCAGAACACAGGTCCCCGCTGCCTTTATTGAGCTCTTTTCTCTTGGAAGGGCCCTGCAGTCATCCTAGTCATTTGTATAGCGTATACTGAAAAGGGATGAGAAATAGTCGAGCCAGCGGGAGTCTTGGCCCCATGTGCGTCTCTGGACAGCTTCCCTTCTCTTGCTTGTGTTCCTGCTGCATTGAAATTCTCCACACTGTTTCCTATCAGCCTCTCACAGCTTGAGCAGAAAGGAGGTGCAGAGCCTTTTGTGTGGCGAAGTCTAGGTTGCCATAGCAGCAGGTTGGATTTGCATGCCTGCTGCTGTGCACCTTGATGGCTCACTTGGTTCAGGATGTGCTCTGTCAGGGTGTCCTCCCACCACTTAAATGGAGTTGAGAGTGTCTGAGTCCGGGTGGCTGGAGTGCACGGTGCAAATAAGAGGGAATGGGTGGCAGAGGGGTTCGCAGTCACAAGGGTCCGAGTGGAGTAGCTGGCAGTTCTGCACCCTGCGAGTTTGGTGTTCATTACTGATTGCAGCCTTTTTCCAGGAATTCTGAAACACTTCACACGCTGTTCTGAGCACCATAGAGGGTCCTGATGCAGACAGTACGGCAAAACCCAAAAGGCTCAGTCTGATAGAAACATACTGAACTCTGCCCTAAACCAAGGCCTACCTGACTAGGACAGTGCTTAACTCAAGTCTGGGCTCTGCAAAGCTGAGCCAAGTAATTGTAGCAGAAAGATGAACAAGGCTTACTAGCTCTAATCTGCTCTGTTCCTCTTGCAGGGTATGATTTATTGCTTTTGCTCCTAGAAGCCCCAGCTGCGATCAGGACCTTGTTACTCTGACCAGGTTCTAGTCTGCTATCAAGAAAAGCCTTTGCAAATGCGTTTCTAAAGCTCTTAGTTTTGTCCTGCCAACTTGTAAACCTTTCACATCTTAATTGCCCAATCATGAGCCTGTCAGAAAGGAAGACTAGTCCAAGTGCTAGAGTGTTCTCTGGAACTTCCAAGAGCTTGGTTCAAACCCCTGCTCTGCCACAGACTTCTTGTATGGCTTGGGACAGGTCACTTAGCCTCTGTGCCTCAGTTTCCCATCTGTACAATGGCAAGAATAGCACTGCTGTGCCTCATAGGGATATTGGGAAGATACATACGTTCCTGATTGTGAGGTGCTCAGACACTACAGTGATGGGGACCAGACATGTTCCTCTAAATCAGCGGTGGGCATCCTAGGCTAGTAAGTGGGCCATATGAGTGACCCTTCTTCATCTCAGTGGATCACAAGATTGTTGTAACCAAGGTGGTCTCCCAGGATAGGGTAGTTTTGCTAGCCATGCTTACATACGTAGAATTTGTGGGGCGTGCCGACTGAACCGCAGCAGCGCTTTGATTGGATGCAGAGGGAGCTCTCAGCCAATGTTATGTACAGTCTGCACGCACCTCACGTCATGTGCCCTTGCTTTCCATATGT